GTGGGGGTAGAGACAAAGAGTTGCGAGCTTACGGCTGGTTACGGTGGGGGGTTATTCGGGGTTGGGGTTTGGGGTTGGGGTTAGGGCTAGGGGTTACGGCTACGGTTAGGGCATAAAAGAAAACAATAATTGGAGACAGAACATGAACATGGGTTAACAAACGGGAGAGAGCAAGGAACAAGAGTAGTCTCAAAGAGTAGTAGAACCCTCACCCTTACGATACGAGTTATGGAAGTTGTTGTTGTTGTTGTTGTTGTGGTGGCTTGCAGCTGTGGTGCTTGTTGCTGTTGTTGTCGTATGGGGTCTGTGCGCTGTTTGTTTGCTAGTGGGCGGCCCATCGATATTGATGTCGCCACCGGCTATGGACAGAGAGAACCGCTTGGGCGGCTCATCATTGGAATAGCCCCAATTGAACACCTCATACATGGACGAAGACTTTCGGCGATGATCTGATGATGATTTTTTTGGTTTTTTTGTTGATTTTTTTTTTTTTGTTACAGAGAGAAAAGTGATCGGTTACAGAGGTGTGTGAAAACTGTTGTTGCTTTTAGGTGCAAATCATACGAATAAAGAGAGTATTCGAAAACAAAAGTAGTAAGGAATAGAAAAAAACGAAAAGAGAAAACAATAAGGTGATCGTGCCGGGTGTTAGAATTCTCTGTGGGGTGGGGCTCAGGGGGGTGGGGTGTATCACATGTACGAGGCGGGTACAGTGGGGGTACAGTGATGCATAATATATCATAGATAGATTGCAGGAGTATCTAGTTTAGGGGGTTTCACACACTGAGAGCTTGTCGAAACACAAGAATTATTAAAATTTGTTCTAAGGTAATAACTGCAAAATAAAATGTAATCTCATTATGTGTGAGAGTGTGGTGTGAGTGTGTGTGTGTGGGAGGGTGTGTTTTTTTTTGGGTCTCTGGAGTGTTCCACGGTATGTGTCTTTTGCTGGGGGCAGTGCAGCGTTCGCGTGCACCGTTTCGTGACTCACCATCGTGTCTGTCCGTGGAGGAGGAGGCACGCTTCTTAGCACCACTGTCGGCAAGTTCTCGCTCAGAACTTCGACGTGTGAGCGAGGCGCCCGCTACGTTCGATATCGATGTAGATCTAAAAAGGGAATGGGGAAAACGGAATGGAGACATTAGCACATTAGAACTCTCGCTTCACCATATTTGGCATTAGATGTGATCTTTCGCTTTCGTTTTGCCAAATCGTAGTTTCACTTTGGCCACTTCCACTACCAAAAACCCTACCTTCGCTGACCCCAAAAGGCACTGGGCGATACAAGACCATAATCCGCAGGCACATCCAACAGACGGGGCGTCGACGAGCCAAAAGCAAAACCAATTGAGTTTCTGTCCCTCCTCTTAACCTCTATTCGGGATTCACGTTCCTGTGGGATCACAAATCACAGATCACAAATGACAAATCACAGATCGTTGTGGGGCAGACAGAAGAGACCGAGACGCACCTGATTCTTCTTAAGTATGTACTCGCGACGCTCCTTCTCGGCCTCAATGATGGCCTTTTTGCGCTCCTCCACCTGGTGGCGTTTCTCTGTGTCGCGGACGCGTATCTCCTCGATGCGTCGCCGGCGTTCCTCCTCCTTTTGTTCGCGATACCTTTGGGCCGCCTCTGCCTGGGCCCTCAGCTCCTCGATCTTTTTCTGTCTCTCCTCATTCTGGCGGTCGCGTGCATATTTCAGCTTCTCCTCTCGATCTTTGGACACTACAAAAGTTCGGATTAATTATTAAGTTTGCTATATTTTTAGATGCTGATGAATGTTAAACATAAAATTGAACAAACACACGGAATTGGCAGGCAAATAAAATTGGAGATGTGCTACCTGTGGCCGGCCACAAATCAATAAAAACAAAATCTTGTTCCCTTTTTTCGGTTTTTTGTTGTTGCCGGTATATTATTTACAAGGGGTGCCTGACGTCATCGACGATGTACGCTGGCTGGCTGGCTGGCTTTTTGTGGGTCAATTGACAAACTAACATGGAATGGAACTACATCACACTACACATACAACAAAACAATAACAAATGGCACGCACACATGAAACAGAGACGAATCGTACACCCCCGCAGGCGCGCCACTCCCATTCCGCCCCTGAAACATTTGCCTATGTGCAAAAAAGGCAACAAATGGGAAGCAAAGAAAACTGTGCCTGCAAAGCAAACATTTTTGTGATATATTAAAATGACATTGAGGCTGAGGCAGAGGCAGAGGCGAGAAAACGAGCAAAAGAGCAGAAGAGGCAGGGCAGGCAGGCGGCAGGAATGAAAGTTCCAAGTTCCAGTGCCAATTCCAAGCATTATAATCGACCACTATTTCCGATGGAGGAGGAGACCTTATCGCCTTATCGGTTGCCAGATACTATTGGAATTCCATGACGTAATTACCATAAATAGGAAGGAACCAAATGCACAGCATGTCAATCTCAGCCCCAAAGAAAGGTCGTGGGGAGAACACTTATCAGCGACCAAGGTCGCAGTCGGATTTTTGGGAGGGGAATTTTCATGCATCATGCCTAGATAACCTCCTTATAGTAGTAGTCTCTTGGGGTCCGTTTATTCGTGAGATCATGCCGCAAACAGGAGGAACAGGAAAGGCAGGACTACAAGCAGACGGAGGGCATAGGCACCAATGCCATCGAGGGCGCCCTCGATGGAATGTAAACTACCTTGAGAGTCATCTTCGTTGCTGCTGCTGCCGCCCACCTGAGCAAACCAGTGCAGACTGTTGCCGGGGCTGCAGCTTGAGATCTCCGCTGGCATGGTGGCGGCGGCGGCGGCGGCAGGTGCGGTGGATGTGAGTGCGGGTACGGGTGCGTGGGCTGTCGGCCCAGTGTGTGGACGTGGTGCTGAGAGTGGATTATATGTTTTGTATATAGAGATAAATGAGTGCTTTGTGTCGTGTGCGATGTCTATATGAAGTCTGTGCCAATTTTATGTAACAAGTGAGAGATAAACAAAGTAAAAGCTTTACCTTTTCGCTCGGCGCTGCCCTCGCGGCTTTCGGCTCGTTTAGATGTGTGTTCCACTGAAAGTAAAGAAATGGTTTGATTCGATGATTTGAAGCTCATTCGGGGCTCGGTTCGGTTCGATCCCCATTACCCCTGCAGTCCCCGAATTTCCCACACGATTTCCCCAAACAATGGCACGGCACTTACTCGAAGGAGACACGAAGAAAACGAAACGAATGGAATATGGGTAGGAAAATCAATTGGCTTCTGTTTTGCACTTGTAGCCAGAAAACACGCATTTGGCGGATGGGCGGACGAGAGGACGGACAAACGCACACAAACAAACGCCTCAGCTGCAGCGCAGCTGCTGGCCAACACGATGACGAAGCGACGACTACGATGGCAGAGGCAGAGCGACATCAGCAGCAGCAGCAGCAGCGGCGGCGGTGGCAGGGAGGCAGAAAAATGTATTCCTCTGGAAACATGAACTTATTTATAAACTCAAACTCCGGTTGACGGGTTTGGGGGAAAGGCACAACAAGCACATAGAACACACGGGAAAAAAATTTCACCCATATGAGGGGGGCAAGCACTTCTACTTCTGGCTTCTTAGTTTTTTCACATCGTTTGCTTTGGCTTTGGTGTGAGTGCCGTTTGCCTGCGTTCGCTGCGCAGTCGACCAACAATTTTTAGAGGCTTAAAACGACTCATTACGCGATTCTCCGGGGGGTTTTTCACTATCCGTTTTCGCGCACAGGCCTATCCTTTGCTTGGGAATATGTTTGGCCAATTTTTAATGCGTACCTTCTGGATTATTCGAATAATTTTCGTGTTGGCCCCCAAGACTCGCCATATTTCTTAAGCGCTGCAAATGTCGATCAGTGTGACCGCAGATTTATCCACTTAACCCACTGAACCCCCTCTATTTAAACAGGTGAACAACTTGAGTTCACCCGCGGGAAATAATACTGTTTTTAAATTCTTCTTGAAGATCCACCCTTTCTTTTTACTTAAAGAGAAATGACCACGTTATCTTTCACATCTCTTACGCAAAAGTTCTTAAAGTTGTATCATTTTTGTGAAATTTATTAAAGTACCCAAGAGTCAACAATGGGTTAATCGTTCTGTGCCCATGAACTCACATTCCTTTATTTTGATATTCGGTTGAATATTACTTGCTAGGCAGGACCCTCAGCCCTGAAAACAAGATTTAATGCGATTGATCTATTAATTTTCTTCAAGAATGACTACTTTTAAGTCTAAAGTAAGGTTTAAGCAAAAACGTTAACAAGAAATAATACCATAAACGTAAGTGTGGATGGATGATACGTAAGTGATCTTGAAATGTTACGTCATTGTTTCTGCTCAACCGGTATCAGCTATGAGTATGGACATTTGTATACCCACTATCCTTAACCTACAAATAAAACTATGTTTTCCAAGCAGCTTTAAACCTACAAGACAATGAATTCGTCTCAGACTGACATGGCTTTGATTCATTCATGCATTAGATCAGGTTGCTCTGGATATATGTACATATCTAAGTCCCGATCCCTATTCTTGGTCTCTCTAAGAAGACCATAAGCTGAAACATTTCGTTGAGATAGCTTTAAAACAGATACTGACTAGATTCTGCATTCATTGGAGACTGGGAGGACAAACATTTCCTCAATTCTATAATATCCTTTTCCCAACAGTAAAAAACGTAATGAATGGAATGAAGACATATGTATTGCTGAGACCGAATTAATACTAGACAAGAATTTATGAAAAATACCGTAAATATACCTAAAACTCAATTTCGACGGTCACGTTTTGTTTATTATTGAACGAACTTAATCCATTTATACCCCCTCCATTTATACAGATAAATAAACTGAAATAAACTGATAAATCTGAACTGGAAATCGGCTGGATAATCGCTAGAGCTGCGCGCCCAAGTGGAATCGTTTGAGAGGCCGTTTCTAAGTCACTGTATCAGGCTTGCAGCCAAGTTTACTTAGGGAATTATTTTTCTTTGCGTATCAACTGATCTATCATATTCAGATTTATTTATAGATACTTATTAAATTTAATATTTTACAACTAATGGTCCTTTTGGGAACTAGTGGGACTCGGACACGATGCAAAGACGGGCCAGCAGAGCCGTAAGCTGTAACAGGGTATTGATGCCATCGACGATCTTCATGTGTGTAATGCCGATCTCGCGAATGAAGTTCAGCTTCATCTGCTCATCGAGATTCAGTCGCTTGCAGACGCGAAATATGTTACCAATAATGTCCTCCGGGGAGTAGCCGAGGCTCCACAGCTTGGCCAGTATCTTGTAGGCCTTGTGAATGTCATTTACGGCACAGTGCTGCAGCATTTCCTCCAGCAACTTGGGATGCGGCTCATCGCACACCTTGAACACGTTCTCCATGGTAATGTTGCCATATCCCTGGGCAGTGGCCTGCAGATTGTTGAGACCCTGTCGCATGTCTCCCTGGGCAGTGAAGACGACCGCCTCCAGGCCCTCCGCATCGTAGGATAGACTCTCCCACTTGCTCACCTCGATCAGCTTGGCCAGAACCTGGGCATCCGAGAGCTTGGTGAAGCGCAGCATGGCGCAGCGCGACTGTATCGGCTCGATGATCTTCTCGCTGGTGTTGCAGGCCAGTGCGAAGCGAGTCGTGTTGCTGTAGATTTCCATGGTGCGACGCAGCGCCTGCTGGGCGCCCTCCGTCATGCTGTCCGCCTCGTCCAGGATAACGATCTTGTGACGACCCTTGGGTAGCGTCACCTTTTGCTGGGCAAACATCTTGATCTTGTTGCGCACCACATCGATGCCGCGCTCGTTCGAGGCATTCAGCTCCAGCACTGCCTCCTTGTAGCTGTCTCCGAGCAGGATGCGGGCCAGGCACTGAATGGTCGTGGTCTTGCCAACGCCAGGAGGACCCTGCAGGCATTATTCCTCGGTGAGTAGGGGCAATCAGCAGGTGACAATACGTGTACTTACGGCTATAATTATGTTGGGTGCATTGCCCTGCGTTGCGAAGACGGAGAGACGTGCCACCGTATCCTCATTGCCCACGATTTCGTTGAACTTTGCGGGGCGGTACTTCTCAATCCACGGCAAGTGGGTACGCTTTTCAGCTACAACAGTTTCCGGATCTTCAGGCATATTTCGATTCGATCTTTCAATTTGCAAATAGAGATTTTGCGCTAGCGTGATAAAAATGCCGGCGTCTGTGTCAACCTTGGCGCCACTACGTGATTTTATTAGGGCTGCAAAACCATCGACGGTCGATCCAGCCCTAATTTTTATTTTCGGTATATTTCTGAGGGTCAGGCGGTATATTTGATCGATAAGTCCACTGTTTGTATCGTTTTTACCGATAGGCTCGTGCGGAAGAAAATAAAAGATTTTAGTTGGCGATTCGAGTCGAAAATAATTAAAAAATGCAGATGCAAACGTACAAGCTGGTCGTCGTCGGTGGCGGCGGCGTTGGAAAGTCAGCCATAACGATACAGTTCATACAGGTAAGGCCCTGGAGCGAAACATTGCTGACGTCGTCGCTCATCGTTAGCCAGAGGGGAGGTGCGGAGCGACAAGTGGGCCCTTGTTTTGGCAAAAGCAACAAGCGAATAGACGATGATGATGGTGATGATGATGTTCGTCTGTGTTTGGAAATGCGTGTGCTACATATTTTCGAGTAGAGATCATCGCCGCGGCAGCAAACTCTTTCGATGTTGATGCCACACCCCCAAAACAACCACAGGGGCCTAGGGTGCCCCCAAAAGTTTGAGTCTCGCTCGTTTGGGTGTGCCCCGCCGAACAGAAGCCTGGGGTCGGTTCAATTCGGTTCGTTTCGGTGCGTTCTGAGGCCTGACATGGTCACGACCACGGTCGCTTTGTCCGTCCATCATCTAGTATGTGGCAATGCGCGCCCGTTTCCATTTATTTTTAGTTATTTGCGTCATCTCCATCTTTCGGATATATGTGTATGCACACACAGACAAGCAGACACCTCCAACGTACTATCCACCACTCATACATCGCCGAAGATTTTCTTCAACATATAGAGCATACCCACCCGTACTAGTGCGTTTGTTGCCTTGGATCTTTTTGGGATGATAAAAGTGGCGTCTCGTCTCTGTGTGTAAACAAATCACACGGTACGGGAGCTGGACTACCGAGCTACCGAGAAACGCGTCTATCTTAATCTAAATCTAAATCTGTGTGTAAACTAATTTATCTTCGTCTTTCCATCTTGCAGAGCTACTTTGTCACAGACTACGATCCCACCATCGAGGACTCGTACACGAAACAATGCGTCATCGACGATGTGCCAGCCAAATTGGACAGTAAGTGATCCTGACTCTTCAGGATATCAGATGTATGAACTAATGAATATTCCCCTTCTAGTTCTGGATACGGCTGGCCAGGAGGAGTTCAGTGCTATGCGCGAGCAGTACATGCGCTCCGGCGAAGGCTTTCTGCTTGTATTCTCGCTCAACGATCATTCCAGCTTCGATGAGATACCAAAGTTTCAGCGCCAGATATTGAGGGTGAAGGATCGCGACGAGTTCCCCATGCTGATGGTCGGCAACAAGTGCGACCTGGAGCACCAGCGACAGGTCGGCCTGGAGGAGGCCCAAAACACAAGCAGAAACCTGATTATACCTTATATCGAGTGCAGTGCCAAGCTGCGCGTCAATGTCGATCAGGCCTTCCACGAGCTGGTGCGGATTGTGCGCAAATTCCAGATTGCCGAGCGACCCTTCATCGAGGAGGGATATAAGAAGAAGGGCAAAAGGAAGTGCTGCATGATGTAAGGATGCATGCGCCTGTGTCCTCCAAGGTGACCAGCGGAAGCAGCAGCAGCAACACCAACAACAAATTAACGAGTATAACACCAAATTTTAAACACGCGTCGACTGAGCTATGAATTCCGTTGAGAAGACGATAAACCGGTAATCAGAAAAGCCAACAACAATAACCCCGTAACACGTAACCAGTAAGGCAGCCCCAAAACGAAGTGCATTTCTTACCTGCCCAAAAACGAACGAATCGAATAAGCTTCTCGCCCAACAATGAAACTCAAAATGCGTACCTCCAAGCGACATAGAAACACGCCCATGCCCAAAAGCCCATATTAAAATTATAAAAACAACGCCAGGAACACACAAAACAGACACGAATAACATACATACATATATATATATATACATATATATTATATATTTTCTACATATATATTTTTGTAATATTATTTGTTGGATCAACGACAACAATTAAGGACAGGACGAATGTTTTCTATGATTATTACAGAAACTGTGGTTCGCAAAAGGCCATTCGTTTTTACATATATGGATGTATGTATGCAAACCGATCCGAACTGATCCGATCCCCCAGGATCGTCGATTGTCATTCGTTGGAACGCTTGTTTCGATTAAGCCAAAATGTAATAATGTGTTATTGTAATTTGTATTGTTATTTACTACTAATATACGCGTACACGTACATATTTATACATATACATATACATATGCATATACGTATATATATTGCTTACAATCCGACAAAATTATGTTGTAACAAATTGAGTGCCTAAACAAATGCTATTCCTCTCCCCCCCCCTCCGGCCGTACCACCCTTATTTGCTCGCTCCTTTTGTACTATATAAAGCGCACAGCCGTCACTCGTTTAACTAAACATAATTGCAAACTAATCATATTTTTGTACCAGTCCCGAACCAAGTCCTTAAACTACTCGTATGTGTTGTTTGTTTTTTTTTTTGTATCGCCAAATGTATTTGCAACAGTTGCTTCGAGCCGCAATCTCGTTTAACTCTATACACTGCTTAATTTAACGAACTTATTTTATTTAATGATATACATACCTGCCTATAAATAAAAATATGTATATGGAATATATTTAATATTAAATATATGCGCAATCTAATAAATACATGGAGAACCACAAACGCTTCCACATAGCCGAATGTTTCAATGCGTTTCTGGCGCTAGACTCCGATGATTGACGTCTCTCTCAAAAAATAATCAGAATCCCCACAAGTGCTCCATTAATTAGCCGCAGGACGAAACCACTCCCGTGGTCCGTCTGTCTGTCTGTCTGTCTGTGTCTCGTTTGAATCGGGTATAAAAGCGGCAGAGAAGACAGTATCCAGCATAGAACACAGAATGAACACCAAGAGCGAAGTCATCATCATTGCAGCTGTGCTCTGCTTCCTGCTGGCCTGCGTCGAGGGTCAAGTGAGTATCCAGCTAATATTTGAATCCACTGAATCCACTAACACATGTCCTTTCAGCTGACATTCTCGCCTGACTGGGGCAAGCGTTCGGTGGGCGGTGCTGGTGGCGGCAGCTCGGGCGTCTTCTTTGAACCGCAGCAGGGCAACTGCAAGACCTCCAACGAAATGCTGCTCGAGATCTTTCGGTTTGTGCAGTCGCAGGCCCAGCTCTTTCTCGACTGCAAGCATCGCGAGTAGGAGAAGGGTCCAATACTGAAGCTCCGATCCGAGAAGAACAAACACACACACACACAGCCACCTATTAATCCATATATATATATATACACTATACATATATATCGATGTCCATATATACACACACGTAATCGAGGGTAGTCGTAGTCGGCATTTAGATTTAATGGAATTTCCGTTTGATATCCGTCTCTCTTCATTGATGGATGGATCAATAAATAAGCGCATCTAAAGTTGATTCGATTTGAAATTGAATCGTTTGGAAATTGGGTAATTCCCTGACCTTTCGGTGGGCAAGCAGCCACCACAATTATCGTCTGTCAGCTGTCACCTGCTACCTGCCTTCACCTTTTCAAGTTCATCGCTATGTTTGATCCGAAAAAAGTAATGCCTCAAATTAAAGTCGGTTTAATTCGGGAAATTGCTCTAATTAACACAGACTGCTACCCCCAGCGGATGAGGGTTTAAGTTCTGTTGTGTCAGTGGCCCACGAGTTCAGTTTGACGGTGAAGTTCATTGGATCAAAACGTATAGCACAATGCCTGCGATCAGGGGCTCCCAGCAATCGAAAGTTCCCAGAACCCTATTGATGCTTTGGGGACTTTCCCTCTTCACATTGGTCCAGTGTAAGTTGTGCCTCATGTGCATAGTATTGTTGCCAATAGATCAAAGTGAGTTGTAATCGTGTCGTTTCATTTAATGTGTGTCAACATAAACATTCCAAGCCCAACACACATCTGTGGGGGCCCCTTAATGTCCGTCATCTAAAAATGGAATCACCCAATGGTAATCACAGACCACCCCCGAATAAAACGGATTGGAATGAGTGGCGGCTACTATTATCGGATGTCAAGCGCCAGTGGCCGAGATATTTTAATTCCCTCACCGAATTAACGATGCATTTCGGTGTGAATTTGTTTTGCTTTGAAATTGTGGTGGAATGTCGATGAATCGGTGAAGAGTTGGAAATTTAAGGCCATGAAAGAGAGCTACAGAAAACCCAAAATACAGTCCTATAGTAAGGAGCAAGCAACTATCTAAAAGAAGACCCTTTTAAATTTATTTGGGTTCGATTTTGGGCCCAAAATCTCACCTGAACCGCTCCTGTCATCCATTGTTTTGGGGGCATCCGACGATTCTTTGGATAATTGAGCTCCACAAACACACAAAATAATTGAATTAAAATCATTATGGGAATTACCATGGTCCACTTCTTGGCCCACAGCAACGGCGGAACAGTAGCCAACTTCTGGCCAAGCAGTACGGACACGGACACGGACACGGATACGGATACGTGGCTTGGGAGATCCGATTGATTCTCCATAGAGACAGGAGCATTATGGTACTGCTGGAAGAGTTCTGTGTGAAGGTGTACTTCTGGCCGTTCCTCTCGTACCTGGCCAGCATCAAGGGATGGTGTCCGGTGTATCCGCCAGGTTACTATCCCGTGTACACGTGGCCACAGCCACAACCGCCTTTGTTGCCACCGCTGCCACCGACTGGTCCACTAATACCGCCTCCACCTGCTCTTCCGTCCACACCTCCAGGGATACCGACGTTCCAGCCAACGCCACCGTACCCACAGACACCGTTCACCCCACCGCTGATCACGACGAGCAGCACCAGCTCCTCCACTTCCACCACAATAGCGACTACCAGCACCACAACGGGTGTGACGACAACTAGCACCGCGGGAACCACCCTGCCCGTGCCCACCTGCCCGCCGCAGCCATTGGTGTGCCTGCCCGGAGGCGTGCGTCCGCTTCCCAACTGCCCCTGCATCGATCCTCGCCAGAATGCGCCCCTGGTGGCTGCCACCGGTCTGATCGGTTCGGATATGATGGTTTTCATGCCGCTCAATGCGGGGCGGCGGCGTCGTCGTCGACGACGGCGTCGTGTTCTCTTTTGAGAGTCACCCCCGATCCTCTCCTAACCATTCCTCTCCAACCACTGCCCCTACCCCTACCACATATCCAACAAAAATTCACAAAAAAATGCAATAAACACAAACGATCACAAATGCAAAACAGCTGTAAATCAATTGGCAAATCTCAAAGCTCTCGACGATTCCCTGCCACGATCCCCAATCACAGTCACGTCCTGCTCTGCTCGTACTTTCAGCCCAGACCTGCTACGATGCTCGCTCCCGGCCGGGCAACTGCCTGGCCCTGACCTCCTGCTCCCACCTGGTGGAGGAGTACCAGAGCCAGGTCGGCCAGTCGGCAGGCTCCAACGACTTTCGGTCGTTTCTGGGCCAGTCCATATGCGGCTTCGATGGCTCCACTTTCATGGTAAGCCAAGGGAGGCTATGCCCTTGCTTAGGTTGGTGATCTAAGGACTCTACTCCACTCTTCTGCAGGTCTGCTGTGCCTCGGATCGGTCTGCAAATGGCAGGAGTAGAAAGGATCTACTGGTGACTACCACTGCACCCGTGGGCTTCTTTCATTTCTCGCCTCTGGGAGGCGGCACCACCACCGGCAGTCCACCTGTGTTTCAGCCCACACCACCGCCGATGCAGGGCCAAGTGGTGGTCAGACCCAGTCCTAATCTTCCTGCTCTAGCTCCGGCTCCGGCTCCGGCTCCACCTCAACCCCAACCTCAGATTGCGCCCCAACAGCAGCTGGTCTGTGGCATCAGTGGAGCCACCTCGAACCGCGTGGTGGGCGGCCAGGAGGCTCGAAGAGGCAAGCAATCCCTGCCACTGATCTCCCCTGTGAGACTCCTTCATACATCTCTCCATCGTTTATGCAGGAGCCTATCCCTGGATTGCCGCCCTGGGCTACTTCGAGGAGTCCAATCGGAATGCCCTGAAGTTCCTCTGCGGCGGCAGCCTCATCCACTCGCACTACGTGCTCACCTCCGCCCACTGCATCAACGGTCTGCTCACTCTGGTCCGCCTGGGGGCTCACGATCTGTCCAAGCCCACCGAGGCAGGGGTCATGGACTTTCGCATCCGTCGCACTGTTGTCCACGAGCGCTTCGATCTGACGTCCATTGCCAATGACATTGCCCTGATCGAGCTGAGTGGAGTAACAGCGCCACTCACTGGTGAGTGGGGAGCAGTGACTGATCTCTCTCTGTCTAATCCCAATTGATTTCCAGCCAACATAGCGCCCATCTGCCTGCCCGAAGCGGCCAAGTTCCTGCAGCAAGATTTCGTGGGCATGAATCCCTTCATTGCCGGTTGGGGGGCCTCCAAGCACCAGGGACCCACGTCCCAGGTTTTGCGCGATGCCCAGGTGCCGATCGTGGCCCGTCAGAGCTGCGAGCTGAGCTACAAGTCCGTGTTCCGGTTTGTCCAATTCAGCGACAAGGTGAGCCACAATCACCTTTCCACAGGGGAATCCTCAGAGACCGAGCATGGATGCTATAATTAATCCTTTTTCAGGTGATCTGTGCTGGCAGCTCCAGCGTTGATGCCTGCCAGGGGGATTCCGGTGGACCACTCATGATGCCGCAGGTCAGTTACATGTCTCATATCTCACATCTCCGATCTCATCTCTTGGTCAGTGAGTCATTGAACCTGTTTTGGCCAACTCTTGTGCACATCTTGTGCTCCAAGGTGGTTCGGTCTGTCTGGCCGCTAATTGCCTGCGCACCGCACCGGTGACGTCTGAATCAGTGGCCAACAATGTTTTTGTTTGTTGATGAGAATTTCTGGGATTTGCCAAAACATCTAACATTCTATCCATCTGTTTCCGTTCCACTTTCAGCTGGAGGGCAGCGGCTATAGGTTCTACCTGCTGGGCCTCGTCTCGTTCGGCTATGAGTGTGCGCGACCCAATTTCCCAGGGGTCTATACGAGAGTCGCCTCCTACGTTCCATGGATCAGGCAGCAGATCTCAATGGGGTAGGGGAGCGCCAAAAACAGCTCACTTACAAAACGGGGAGTATAGGCGGGGTATAGGTACATACATACATATATGTGTTAAAATAAAGAATACAGTAAATTGCATGTTTTAATGTTCCCACCTGATTTATTTTTAATTGATTTTACACTCAGTGATGGCAAACAAAAATTAACTAAATTCTCAATATCCATCTGCATGACTAAGTCGCTCTTCTTTGGATTTAGGTTCAAGATCAAGATTAAAATATTACTTAACAGTCTTTGAGATGTTCTTCTCCGGCTATATCTTACGTGAAAAACCACCAATTTGTTGTATTAAATATTGTGTTATCTTTTATGCTAAATCGGAAAACTCTAAAAATCGCATGGGAACCTGTGGGAATTCTTTGTACGAGTATAGTCATAAATTTGTTATAGCTTTTTTAATTCATTTTGCGTTATTTTTAGCGCTTTAACAATGTATGAGCAGCGCGATTGTATTATAGGAATTGAGTGTTATTCGCGATAGGAATCAATCAATAAAATAAACTGAGTTCATTTGAGGGCAGAATTTTGAAATCTTTTGGAGGGATAAAATAATGTCGGGCATGCGTGCTGTGCTGAAATATTGATAAAGTAGTCATCTGTCGAGCCGGAACCGAAAAAGAGCAGTTCTTCGACTGCGATCGGAAATTCCCGCACTTGGGCCACCCGCTGGCACCTGTGCTGCATTGCCAATCAATCTGTAGGATTACTCATAATAGAATGCTTTACATTATGCCACTCTCGGCTGCATCGCTCGCATGCCAATTGGCTCTGGACTAAAGCTCTGGCTTTTGGCAGCCTGGAGCCGGAATGCCAAGCATGCCGATTGGCCCGTTCTAAGGCGATTTAAGTAAGGCGATACTTAGTATAACTGCAAAATCAAACGATGCCGTCACATGGCACCCCCTCATACAGTCTTTCTGCGATAGTAGCTGTAATCGCTCAATCAGGGGAGAGCTTTTACGATTCGTGCATACGAATGCAATGTCAATGTTAATCTTGATACGGATAGAGAGAGACAGAACAGAAGCAGCGGCAGCGCGGCGGCGGCGGCGGCCGCTTTGCAGCAGACCTTAGACAGCGGTTGGAGGCATCATAGCAGTTTGTTAAGTGATTCCCAATTGACATGTCAACTGGATCCGTTTTAATTTCCCTTGATAAATGGCATTTTAAATTTTTGTTTCATTCGTCTAATTGAGTCACAAAATTCTTGGGACTGGACCAATGACAAATGCGGAGCAAGGCGCCAAAACGGCAGACAAACAAAGTGACCTCACACTCTCACACGCATTACGCGGTAGTTGTAATTGTATATTTCTAGCGGGCAATAAAGGAACATAGATACACACAGCACATAGCATACTCTTACGACTATAATTTGCCTCCTTTTGACTCATCCGTTGAACGATTCCCATTCCATTAAAATGCTATTTTCGTATAATTTTAGGTTTGAGTTCTATTATTACATGCACACATTTGGAAATTTTTATTGCGTTAGTGTTTAAATATGGGTCTGGGAAAATCGTGTCTCCCCCGATCGACCGAGTTTGGTGATTTTTCCGGCTTGATTAATATATTTCAAAAGCGATTAAATTTGTGTTACCATCAAATTCCAAGTGAACCCCAAATGAAATGATCTCTATTCGCATTCGCATTCGAATTTGCAATCGCACTCGCACCGCTGTTCCGTTAGGGAGAGCTTGCAAGAGAACTACCGACGACCGACGCAACGCAGTGGGATCGGCCTGGGAGAGAGATAGATCGGACTGCATATAAAGCTCAGCTCAAGCGGCCGAGCTCTCAGACAACACGAAGACGCGACGCGATGCGAGCCGATGTTTTGGTCACGCAAGCTAACAAATTTAACAAATACAAATTATTATTAAACGAAGAAGCTTCGATTTTGATTTAAATTTCGATTCGAGAGACATTTCAGTCTGATAACGATCGTCCGAAAGTGAACAGTGAATAGTGAACGCCGCGAAGCTCTCGCCATGAAGTCGGTGTTTGGTGCCAGTGCTGTTATTACACTCCTCTACTTCCTCCTCCTTGGCGGGCCGTCCGCCTTCGCTCAATTTAACAATCAGCGCCGGCAAGGTAGTTACTCGTACTTGTACTCGTACTTAATTAGTAGAAAGCTTTCAGACCTGGCTACTACCTAATACACATATCTATCTATCATTTCTCATTTCTGTGGAACTTTTAACGATGTGATGTGAGCAAACAAACAACTAATCCGCGCCATCCCAAAACCAGTTCCATTAACAGCAACGAAAATCAGAATCAGTATCAGAATCCGAATTTAAACTAATCAAAACTCATAAAATGTTCAGCGAGTTTCAGCCAATTCGACTGGGAATAACTAAATTGGTCCAAATATTGATTTGATTATCCAAAGATACCCAAAGACACATATGTATGTATGAGTGTGAGAGAGTAGGCGCGGATACAAGTTCATGGCAAGTTCGTTGCTCAAGTCTTTCGATCCATTTCCACCTGTCGCACCGGTTAATAGGGCAATTTGTATGAACTGCACAAAATGGTTTCTTAAGTTATTTATTATAAATTTCGGCTCATCGCGTTCAAGTTCAATTCCAGTTCAATTTCGTGAAACCAGTCGCCAAGGTCGGACTCGGACTCGGTCTCAAACTCAGACTCAAACTCAGATGTGGACGTGTGGACAGGTGGTTATTACCAGTGAGGCGTTTCCTTAGAGCTGCCTCGTCTCTGTCTTTGTTTACTTTTGCGTGGGGTTTTTTGTTCGAGTGTTTTGTGTTAATGATTAAGTGTGTAGATTGTTAGAAGTGTCAAAGTTTTTATTACTATATGTAAATCGTAGTGCAAAGAATCGGACTAAACTAACCCCACCCCTTGTCTTGGTATGCCTACAAAAAATTCGGAATATTCTTGATTTTAAAGGGGTTTTTATAAAAAAAATTGCTGAGTTAAGTTTCGGTAATCTATCAATACTATAGTATAAAAGGCTATTGGGATTGAGACTCATATGAGCGTTGCTGGAATTGTTTACATCAGAACTAGATATATCATGTCTTTTTCGACTAACTTTACCTCACAGACACATTCGGTAGAAGTAACCTAAAAGTAACTAACTCATTGCTCCAATTATTTCCTACTAAAATAACCATAGAAATGTTTAACAATTCAATGGTTTGTGTCATATTTTCAATCAGTCCCGCCCAAAGACTAACCCACAACTTGGCTCCCGATCTTCGTCTTTCGTCCTCTAATGTGGAACCTCTCCGTTGTGCCCTCTCTCTTCCAGTTCGTCAGAACTGCATCACTCCAGAGAACTACTATGGCAGCTGCGTGGCGCTTAGATACTGCCCCCAGGTGGTGAACGTATTCCAGAGCACCAGCAGAGAGCGCGCTGAGCGCTATGTGATCGCCCTGCAACGCAGCTGTGGCACCCGCAACTTCAATGGGGATCCGGTGGTAGGGAGCACACACTCTTTCTCTCATTTCTCAACTTTTGCGGTTATGCTGAGCTTTGGCTTCTCTTGCTTCTCCCTCCCCGCAGCTGTGCTGTACTTCTCCGCAGAATAATCCACAGACCACAGAGCGGCCATCCAATCCCTTCTTTCCCAAAGAGCAACCGTTTGTGGGTCCTCAGCCGCCGCCAGATGTGCCCAATCGCAATCCCTTCCTGACCACGCAGCGACCACCCACCACCACCACAACGACGACAACGACGCGTGCTCCGGTTACCTCGGCAGCACCGCTGGTGGAGCTCCGTGGACCCGTATGCCGTGGACCGGACACCAAGCCCGGCAATTGCGTCGGTTAGTATTTCCGTGGAGTGTGTACCTCTCGACTGCCTCTAACCGTCTGCATTCCCGCATCAGATATCAAAAGCTGCCCTTTGTTGCTCAATCAACTGATTGCCAAGCAGAAGGATTCCACCTTCGTGAGCTTCCTGCAGGCCTCGCAGCGCATCTGCGGCAACGTAGGCTCCACGGTCTGCTGCCCCAATGGCCAGACGGCGACGAATGAGCCGGTAGTCACTCCCACAGTCAGCACGGAGGATGTGCCCCGACGTCTGCCCAATGTGGAGGAGGGATGTGGCTACACTCTGAACACCTTCAAGAAGATCGTTGGCGGCGAGGTGAGTCGCAAGGGGGCCTGGCCCTGGATTGCACTCTTGGGCTACGATGATCCCTCCTCGTCGCCGTTCAAGTGCGGTGGCACTCTGATCACCGCCAGACATGTGCTCACAGCGGCCCACTGCATCCGTCAGGACCTGTAAGTGAAAGTTTGTCCTCTCTCCAGAGCTCTGTCCTAAAACTATCAATTGATTGCAGAATTTTCGTGCGACTGGGCGAACATGATCTCTCCACGGACACCGAGACGCGCCATGTGGACATTAATGTGATCCGAGTAGGTCTAATATATCCCGAGGTCTATACTTCTTATAACTGGAGTATTCTCTGCTTTCAGTATGTGTCCCATCCGGAGTACAATCGCCAAAATGGACGCAGCGACATTGCCATTCTGTATCTGGAGCGGAACGTGCAGTTCACGGACAAGATCACCCCCATCTGCCTGCCCCACACGCCACAGCTGCGGGGCAAGTCCTATGTGGGCTACATGCCCTTCGTGGCTGGCTGGGGCAAGACCCAGGAAGGCGGGGAGTCGGCCACCGTGCTGAACGAGCTACAGATCCCCATCTTCGACAACGAGCAGTGCCGCGAGAGCTACGCCAAGCAGAAACGGTACTTCTCCGCCGACCAGTTCGACAGTGCGGTCGTGTGTGCTGGCGTCCTCACCGGCGGCAAGGACACCTGCCAGGGCGACTCCGGTGGCCCACTGATGATACCCGAGCCGTACCAGAACAGCGTGCGCTTCTATCTGATCGGCGTGGTCTCGTACGGCATTGGGTGTGCGAGGCCGGAGGTGCCCGGCGTCTACTCTAGCACCCAGTACTTCATGGACTGGATCATCGAGCGGGTCCAGGAGACGACCTGAGATTGAGATGCCATCCACTTCTATCCATTGTATTTTTTTTCTACCTATGTAATAAGCTCTCCCCCAACTCGAAGTAAACTTCCTCTCAGATTCTGTAAGCGTAAAACTCTCGGAACTCGGGGAATTTCTGGCTTCTGGGCTGTGGGATCTGCGATCGAGTGCAAATATTGACACTGGCCCTTTTGTCTTGGCCTTTGTTCTCATGACACCGCGGCGATGTCTAATCCCCGGGTCATGTGCCTGGACGCAGCGCGATCCCCTTTGAGGGTTGTGCCTTGGCCTGACGCTTATGCTTATGCAAATCGAGGGCAAGACGCTTCATCGATCATGCTGGTAATGATCGCGTCTTGGGCCACCCCTAGGAAGGGGTTATGTAAATGCGAGGATGCATGGATGCGAGGATGCCTGGACATGAACTGCATTGTAATTGCATTGAAAGAAGCCACAAGCGCGGATTTGCATAACTGATCGCAGGCGCAGCGATGTCTTCAAGGTTCCTTCTATCGCCTGGGCGCCATCTCCGTCTCTCGCCGTACAAAAGGGGCAGAGCATCAGAACATCCCCTGCCCCAACTTAAGTCAACAGTAGAAACAGCAGATGAACAGAAATCAAATGCCAGACACAATGTAAGACGAATCCTTTTAGAAGTCAGAACGCCTCCCGCGCATTTGTGGCCACATGGCTGGGGTTCTCGGTTGCTCGGGTCTTTTGTGTGCTGCATCCACATTGTGATTCCAATCGCATCTGGCAGATGATTTAGTGCTGAACCGAGAGTTCATTAAACTGTCTTACATTCCCCTGATCTCATTCATCTCTTTAAAATTAAGTTTCAATCACAACAGCGAAAGTAAAGCAGAAGGGGCACTGATCCCTGATCTGATCATCATCATCATCATCAATAATGCCAACAAAATTTGCATCCCAAGAATCTCCTTCTCTTGTTTTTTTTTTTGCTAAATTTGCATACCTAAACCGCTTCGCGAAACCCCACCTCATATGCCACAAGGGTGTTAATATCATCATTACCCGATTCCCAGACAACAGACCAAATTTTCGCAAGGGTTTGCAAGGGTTTGCCTTTTGCGGTGTCAAGAGCTGCACAAAGGGTTTGCCCACAATCGCAAATGTAAACACGATCCGTCAATATCAATTGTGATCAATGATAGCGATGATCTCTCAATTTGCAGTGATAGGCCGAAGGCCATTATAAGCCAATACATGATCGGAAAATTCTGCTGCTGCGCTGCTGGCTGCCCTGCCCCGTCGTCGTCGTGCAATGTGCTATCAGTGCTATATCGAGTGATATAATTAAAACCCTTATAAACCTGTATTGCGTGGCAACAATGCGTGCTAGTTAATGGGGATGGCTGTAACCATTATCCGTGATGCTAGCGGGGTTCTCTTTGATTCGAAAGAAATGAAAGATTTGTCTTATTCTGGTTAAACTTTACTAGAGTTTTATTTTCTTCTATATTACTAAATGATGCATTTATTACAGCAAGTATATTTTAGTATAGATCACAGAGATTACAAACTAATCATTCACTTAAGCAACATACTAAAAAAAATATTCCTCTTGGACGAATCTAACCTAATGGAATTGCACTTGAATTATAACGATTTATACATCTAAATCTGGCACTACAACAGAGGATCGGAGGATCGGAGGATCGGATCTCTGTTTCTTCAGCTAGGCTTCCGGGGAGGCGGCAGCGGCGGCCGCATTCCTTTTCAGGGCCAGAACTTCGTTCAGTGTGGGACTGAGGGCGAGGGCGGGATTGGCCACGGCTATGATGTTGTCCCCCGCAGCGGAGATGACCTGGACGCCGCTCAGAGTTGAGGGCGCGGAGACGGTGCCACTTAAGTCCACAGATTCGCAGGGCGTGGACGAGGCATCCATCTGGCGGGAGAGGGGCGACCGCTCACCTTCCAGACCATTGCAGGCCGTCTGTGGGGGGGAAGATGGGAGAGACAAATCGTTCTTTACTCGGGGTCTCCCTCCGCGGCGGACTGCACGCATAACGCTCCAACACATACTCACTGGCATTGGCGGGGAGCTGGAGGAGTTGCTGAAGGAGAACCGCGAGTCGTTGTCCTCAAAGTCGGCCGTCTTGCCCAGCCTGGATATGAACGATCACGACGAGTTTTAGTTCAATTAGAAAAAAGGGATTTTACTCTCATACTCACGAGAACTTGGCGATCTCCGTAAGGTCGAATGGCGGCTTGGCGAACTTCTGGTACATGGCAAAGAGATTGTAGCGCGAGTCCTCCACAGCTTCCTTTTATGTATGGGTTATCAATGAGATCAAGGATTAAAGTCTCTGCAGGGGCTACAAAAATCGTACTACGAATTGAAGCTTGAAGCTAAGCGTGGCAAGAAGAGAGTTCTTGTGGAGTTTGTATGGCAAAAGGAAGAATAGACAATTGGATATTTCGTAGGACTCATTTATTTATTGACTCAACAGAGGAGGAGGTACAACAATCAATATATTGCAAAGGACTACCGACTAAATAACTTTTGGCTATATATAATCGATGCTTGACTATAGTAACTAAGCGTAAGGGGTTATTGGCAAGGCGAAAAGTGGGTGTTAAGTAAAAGCTCAAAGATCAACGTTACAAACAAAATACCAGAAGTATCTATAGTCAAAAAACGCAACAATCTAATATAATACTGATTACTTTATAATAATACTAAGATAGTACGGATTTCTACCGATTGAAAGTTCTATTTACAAAGAGGGTTCCCCCATAAGAAGGGAGTGATATGGTATGGCTGAAAACCGATCCCAAAGCTATCCCAGATATTCTTAAAAGAACCTCTGGATTATATGTTAGTGTTAGTATTTGTGTTCTGCGGATCGCGAAAGCTGCAAAGCAAAGTTTTGGTTATCTCCCCGCCCCCAAGCTGGAAAGCTCCCCGAAAGCTGTTGGCTGAAGCTGAAGCACTGCACCAGGCGACGCACTTACGGCTCTACGGATTCAGTCTTCCTTACCCTGTTGAGGTCCATGGGCAGCTGTGCCGCCTCCGTGGAGGAGAGACGCTGCCGCTTGGGCGGCATCGATGCATCGCTCGACTCGCAGTCAACATCGCTGGGCACACAGCCCGAGCCCGAGCCAGAGCCAGAGCCCCGTGCTCCACCCGCACCATGGGCACCCGGCAGCTGGGTGAGCAGTCCCCCGTAGCGGGCTATGCTCGCCGAGTGGCCGAATCCTGCATCCTTGACGATCTGCCGCGCCAGCGGGAAGAGCTCGTCGCGGCGGGTAAGCAACCAGATGGTCTGGGGATTGCGACAGAGCTGGGCGGCCGCCTCGTTGACGCACACCTCATGGAGCGTGAGGGGCTTCTCCGGGCGGCGCTTGCAGTCGAAGCGGCCGTAGATGGCCGAGTACTTACGGATCTCGTCCATGCGACGCGGATCGTGCTCGCTCATGGCTATCACCTGCTCCAGTTCGCGGGTGGTGCGCTTCCGGGTGGTCTGGGCGCGTGGCTCCCGCTGCGGCAGCTGGCGGCCGATCTTCTCCGCGCACATGGTGATGCGCTGGATCTGCATCTCGGTGAGGACCGGCGTCAGCTGGGGTGAGCTGGAGGAGACCTGGTGGGCTGTGCTAACCGAGACACAGGCCGCTGATCCTGGCATGCTGCTGGGATTGGCATTGGAATGTGTCTGGGGATTGGGATTGCTAGTCAGAGGTGTTGTGGAGGGCAGGACAATGGAGGGCAGGACGGGCACCGAGGTGCAACTAATTTGGGATATTAAATGGGGGACCGTCGTGACCGCCGGCGCCGTCGCGGTCGCGGACACAACCGGACCAGGGGCCGGAACCGGGGCCGGCGAGGCCTGGAAGGAACCTGTTGCATTGAAGGAGGGAAATTTCTGGCGGGGCAGGGCAGGCGTGGTGTCCGGATTGAAGACCAGCGCTGGCTTGGGCGGTGTCTCACACAGACCTGGAAGCATCATCACCCGTTTAGTCAAGGATGCCAGGAGCTGGCTGGGAGGATCACTCTTACCCAGCTGCGGCATGAGGACGCCCTGGAACAGGCCGGGATTGTTGGCCCACTCATGCAGGGCCTTTTGCAGACGCCGCACGTGCAGGGGCTTGGATGCCATGCCCACCAAAGCCATGATCTCGAGAAACTCCTCCTCGCCGGCGTCGTACAGCTGCTGCACATCGTCACCGCCCATCTCGAGGAGCGTGTCGTAGTAGGCGAGAAGACTGGCCCGCTGGAGCACTCGGTACAGCTGCACCTCCGCCTCGTTGCCCGGCCGGGATGTGGTGATCACTGCAAAGACGCACAAGGAAGAGCAGAAAGGGAAAGGCTTGAAAACAGTTTTCAACCAAAAAACAGAAAAACAGGAGGCAAAAAAAAATGATATTTATTAAGTTCTGGCCGGGGACGTTCTCACAATGTTCCGAGCCTATAAGAAAAAAATTTTAATTAAATCGCTTTTTTTCCTTAAAAAAAAAACTCGACGGACGTCTGGACCCTAACCTAACCCTTTTTAGGCAAGGCAAGAGGACAAGCGAGAACGAACGAACGAAAGAAAAAAAAGCACAGAAAAAGGATGAGGCAAGAGCCGAGGGAAGGGGAACGTGAGCTCGTCTCATCTGCATAACAGAAAGAGAGAGAGGGAAAGTGAGATATGCTGATTCAACCCTTTGGTCCCGAAGGATCTGATCCGATCCGATACGATGCGATGCGGTGCGAGTCGGCAAACTCGTTAGAAATGCGTCACGCATGCCCGCAGACCCCGCAGACCCCGCCGAGGATTTCCAGGATCATTTTAATCTCTCCTCATTTAATTTTTTCGGTTTTATCACTTTCGATTTTTAGCAAAAAAAATAATATAATAAATAAAGAGAAAGAAGAGATGCGCGCCCAGGGGAAGGGGGATTCCTTAATTCCTTGAATTCCGTGTGAAATGTACAGAAAATGGAAGTTTTCTTGGGTTCTTGAGCGATTTATTGCCCTCGCATCCTAATGATTTCAAGATTCCCGGATCGCTGAGGCAGCAGTTACTGTTATGGCACCACAGTCCAAAATGGACGAGACTGACGACACTGTCGCTGTAGATGATGATTATGTCAAATCGTAAATAATTATGTGAGAATATTTCAGTCGGCGACAGTCGCCACTGCCATCCAGGCAGAAGCCAGCGGCCAGCGGCCAGCAGCCAGAAGCAGCAGCAGCAGCAGCATCTTTAATTAATAGAAAAACGAGCTGCGGGCCAACTAAATTATAACAGAGCAGAAAAAGCCTCGTACATCGATTGCTGGCTGATTCTTCTGCTTCGTCTTTTACTGTTTTTTGCGACTCTGCGGACTCTCTGGGAGCAGAGGCGTCAGCAGTCAGCAGCACCAAGGTACAAGCGCATCCACCAACATGCGATGCGCTTTGCTCTTCTCACTTGCAGTCATTAACCCATCAAAGGGTCCATGGGGCTGTTACAAGTTATGGGTGTTTAGCAGGAAAGCAAAAATAATGAAACTTTATTTTCAGCGCTGATTGCATCGGTCGGAAACTGAACGGCTCTCGAAACTGAACACGCAATTAGTGCTTGAAAGTTGATCAATAATTAGTCTAATGGATAACCAAGGTTAACTGGACTGTCCAAAATGCCTTCGAATAGTTGAAAGTGAAAGTGCTACATGTGCCATTGCTCTCATATCATTAAAAATCATTAACTTGCAGCTCTCATATTTAAACAAATCAACTACTGAACATCTAGAGTTTCCGCTCAAGGGTTAATGGACAGAGCAGGCCACACTTCTAGTCTTTGCAGACCCCCCTCCCGACCCTTTCCAGTGTGGGTATTTAACACAGGCTTGCGTAAGTCGGGAGTCGGGAATCGGGAGTCGGGAGTCGGGAGTCTGTCTGGCTAGTCGTGTGAGGAAAGAAGAGGGACATATATACATTTGCAGCAATAAATAAATGAGACGTGATTTCAATACACAAATAATGTCACTGGCAACGGTGGAGGCCAGAGTGCTGCGGGGGGAAGGAATAACAGCCAGATCTTCTGGCAGGGAGTCAGGGAAGGAGAGAGACTCGAATAATCGGCAGCGCTGCTCCTGCGCAATGCGCGCTGCCTGCTGCAGAGAGAGCTCTGCTCTGCTCCTCTTCTTTTTCTCTTTCTGCTTCCACTTCAGATTGTTGCTGATTTTTTATTTATTTAATTTGCGGGTTCGGTTCTGTTTTTTGTTGTTGTTGTTTCCTTCTGCTTCTGTTTCTGCTTGTGCTCTGCTCTTCACTGTTGTTGCTGTTGCTTTTGTCATTTGCTAAATATGTTGTTTTTATGCGAACGGCAAATGGTAAAAATGGACAAAAAATTAACTGCAGTAACTTTTTAGTTGGCACTTGGAAGCAATAATGACATTCGACGCCACATACCAAGCAGCTGCCCAGAAGGAGTGGGCACCAGCACCAGGAATAGGGACCAGACCAGGAACCAGGGACCAGGGACCATGGGCCAGACAGAATATGCGTCTGGTCTGACTGTGTGTTTGTTTGTGTTTGTGTTTGTATGTGCGTGGAGCAGTCAATCGTGCGATCGCCTTCGATTATGGGCAAAAAGTAGACGCCGGGACAAACAGAAAAGCAACAGCCAGCCGCAGACTTTGACTTCAAGCTGGTGCTGGAGTTGGACCTGGAGCTGGACCTGGGGACCTGGGACCTGTGCCTGGGGCCGCCTCCCTCCTCAGATGGCATTGGCAATGGGCAAGTAACCGAAACTATTTCTCATATACAACGATAAATTAAAAGCCAACTTTTTAAACGACCAAATTCTTGTCGATCAAAATTCCATTGGTGGCAATAACTTGGCTGGTACGAGTACGTGCCAATGGCCCGATGATGGCCAGCCAGCCGACGGAGGACCCAAAGCCAGACCCCAGACCCCAGGCCAAACCATACCAAACCAAAGCGAACCATAACCATAACCTGGCGACATCTTTGACAGAGCCAGAGGCGGGAAACGTATTCTGCAATCAGCATTTTCCAGCGAGAAGAGAACGCGTCTCGTTGGCTGAATCTGGGGATCGGAATAGGGGTGGGGTTCGCAGTCTGCGTCTGCGTCTGAGTCTGAGAGAGATCTTTGCTACCCGCAATGTTTGGGGTGAGTTTTTTCTTAGGTTTTTTTTTCTTGTACTTTTTCTATACAACTATTGTGTGTCACCCCTAAGGCAGGGCCTATCATCATGAAGTTGATCTAACGGCTGCCACTGGCAAGCTGCATTACCTGGCTCTGAGTCGATCTCATTGGATGACGACTGCCATTGCTACCTGGGAGCAGATCAGAAGAGAAAGAAAGAACTTTGAGCAGACACATATGCTAAGCAGACACCCCGAGCGCTAGGCAGCAGCACCAAGGAAGTGGAAACCGGAACTCAATCCGCGATTCTTTCTACAATTGCCTCGGAAATAAATAATGGCTGAGCGCAGAGGTAACTTTTTTTGTCTTTTGCTGCGGCCTCTATTGTTAAGCAGGCCCAAGGTCCGTTAGGGCAAGGGACAAGCTTCTTCTGGGGTTCTCCTCAGTTTCCGTTACATAACAGAACGCAACACCGAACAATGGACTGCGAGGCGAAGCTCGAAAAAGAGCGCGAAAATTTCAGCATGTGCCCTCAGGGAAGTTTAGTGATGGATTCCCAAAGGAAAATACTATAGAAACCATAGATAAGGACATCACCATACATAAGGAAAAGGACATCTGCAAGGCAGAATAGTTCTTATGAGGCTCTTCTTAAATCCTTAAATTGGTAGAGCTGAACCTTAATCTTCGGCAAGCTAAAATTAGTGATTTTCATTGAGAAAAAACTATGAAAAAATCAGAAATAACAAGGACCAAGGACATCTGCATATCGCATAAGTGACATTTTTTTCGAAACTGACTTTATATTTCGCAGAAAGGGGGTCGAAATGGCTGGCATGAAAATGGTGGATGATTTTAGTTGAAAGCATTTTGGAAGTAACTAAACGTATTGTATTTATTACTCATGAAAAGGGGTCAACGACTGGCTTATAAGCACGGAAATCTTTAATTTGGCCAGCACTCCCACATATCCTTTAGTAATTTAGTAAACAAAAATCAGTTTCCTCTAAAGGTGTATCTGTATTGCCAACAAACCCTTTAAGATAATCTAGATACGAGTATCCCAAATTTCGGATATCCCCTCTGTCTAATCAAGAACTTAAAATTATCAAACGCAATCTATATAATTATTGGGGAATCTCTTCCATTCCACTTACTTGTTCCATTCGCATTCCTCCCGAAGATCTTGCCCTGCGGACTCAGAATGGGGCTGGAGGATGCCGACGGGGCGCCGGAGAGGGAGCGCTGACCCTCGGACAGACCGCTGGCCAGTGACAGGTTGTAGAGATCCTCCTGCTTGGCGGCCTCCAGGCTGGTGGTCAGCAGCTGCGACTGCGTGACGTGGGTGGTGGGTGTGGCAGAGGCGGAGGTGGAGGTGGAGGCTGGAGCCAAACTCAGACTCGCGCTGGATGCTGGCTGACTGTGGCTGTGACTGTGCTGACTCTTGCTGCTCGTACTGGCAGCAGGCGAGGGGGTGGACACCACCACCGTAGACGAAGTTGTGGTCGGCGTGGAGGGCGAATTGGCATTGGCCTCCATTGCTGGGTGTCGATGATCGTGATGGATATCCTTGATATCCTCGATACTTGGCACAACGGAAGAGGACAGGAACCAGGCACAAAAAAAAAACAACCAAAATAAAATGCATGCAAAAGCAAACGACGAACACAAAAACGGATGCACTATCGGGATCGGGATTCAACTACAATCTACAATCTTGACTACACTAATTTCTTTCGAGGATCGCTTAGGATCGAGCAGGAGCAACAGTATCGTTTCACACGAGAGCGCGCTTCGCAAGGTTTCTCTTCTTTCGATCTATGCGATCCACTCAGCTCGAGGCCAGATGAAGTTCTGTTGTCGTGTTGCCGCGTGGACGGCTCGGGAACCCTTTTTCCGAAGCAGCAGCACCGCTCGGACCCTGCTTTCGTTTTCTTCCAGGGAGGAGTGCGGAACGAGGACACTGCATAAAATCACGTAGCAGACGAGAAAGGGTTAAAACAGGGATAAAAACAAAGCAGTGGAAGGAGAGCGGCTGTCGGGCGGTGAGGAGTGCAAGGGTATTGGCGCTTCCAGTTTTCTTTGGAGGGTAAGTTTTTATTTCCAGAGGCCGTACACACACAGAAGAGAGCGAGAGCGAGCGAGAAAGAGAAAGAGAGACAGAGGGAGGGAGAGAGGGAGAGAGAGTTGAGTAGAAATCCAAGTTTGAGTGAGTTTTTTGTGCTCCGCCTCTGGGAGTAGATATCACCTTTGAGTGTTTCCCGAAGATCCTTCATTTCGTGTCCGATGATCCTTTTTTTTGCTGATAGTTTCCGTTAAAATGTTGGAATATTTAAATTGAATAAAATGCAAGACATGCATAAATTTGTGAACAAAAAAAAAGCGGAATATGGAAACCTTTTCGGTTCCCAGGAAAAAGAAAGAACAAATGGAAAACGCCAAGGTTTTTTTGAGTTGATATATTTTTTTACACAAAAACCCTTTACAATAGATTTAAATTTAAACTTAAATATTTCCGTTTATTCTCTATCGATAATCCTAATTCTACTATTATTATTGGATCCACTCCAAGTGATCTTTCAAGATCATGAAAGATTTAAGCATGTTCTTATTTTCGCTCCTACTATGAACATATGGTGATATGTGTATTCCATTGGCTTTGTCTTTTTTGCTATGGTCTTAATTCTAGACCGGAACAGTGCGACTTGTTATCATTTGCTATCATTTCTTAAAAAATGATTTTGAAGTTCAATCATAAACATATATTGCAAACAGATTCTATATTTTTGTTGTTGGTAAATGCGTATGCTCCCCTTTCGGAAGCTTCCCCCCATTCTGGTTTTCGCATTATACTGAAATTTTTTCTCTCGCTCTATTCTGTATTGCTTGCATAACTGTGAAAAGCCCGCTTTACGGTTTTAAATTATTAAAAAATAAAACACAAGACCTGACATGCATAAATTTGTGAGCAACAAAAAAGGAAATCTTTTCGGTTGAATCTTGTTTTCCCTGGAAAAAAGTGAAGGAATGAAAAATTGCAAGGATTTTTTGTGTTTATATATTTGGTATATACAAAAACAGTTTACAATAGGGGGTTTTTTTTTTATTAAATAGGGGAATACTTTTAAAGATTGCCGTTTACTCTCTATCGATAATCGTAATAGCTATTATTATTATTGGATTCAATCCGATCCGAGCCGAGCCGAGCCGAACGGAACCGAACCGAAAAGATCCGTTAGATTTAGGTATGAATAGATTACACTAGGATTTGGGGATTTAGGGTTAACAGTCGAAGAGCAGGAACCCCGGGCTATCGTAGGCCGTTCCGGTCCGCGGACACCGCTACAAGAGCAGGGTTCCCCGAGCAGGGAGCAGGGTTCCTCACTATAAGTTATTCACGCTGATGATCTGATTGATCCAGCCGATGAACGAGGACGTCTTCACGTAGACGCCGGGCACATCCTGGCGGCCGCAGCCAAAGCCCCAGGACACCAGGCCGGCCAGCTCGTAGAATCCATCGTCCTGGCACACCAGCGGACCGCCACCATCGCCTTGGCAGGCGTCGTGTCCCTCCTCGCCGCCAGCACAGAAACTGGAGGCGGGCAGTATAAAGATCTTCTCCGTCACGGCATTCACCTTCCGGATGCACTCCGTGTCGCTCACAATGGGGATCTCCGCCTCGCGTACCCTCAGGGGTATGGGACCAGCTGCAAATCAAAGAAAGTTAGAGATTGCCAGGATTGTGCGATGGCGATCCAAGACCCACCTTCACCCATGTAGCCGTAGCCGGTGACCGTGCATCGCTTGCCCGCCGCATGGCTAACGCCACGCGCAGGGAGGCACACCAGACAGACGCCATCCCGGAGCTCCGCCTGGCCGTGCAGCTTCAGCAGGGCAATGTCGTTGTCCAGGGTCTGGCTGTTGTGGTTGTGGTGGATGTAGGTGGTGGCCACGCGTAGTGTCTGGGCTCCCGGACTGCCGTACTTGCGCGTCAAATCATAGTCGCCCACCCGAACATAGATGGCATCTCCGGAACGAACAATACTGTGGATCAAAGTGGATAAAAGTGGGTTAGAGGGGTCGGATGGTGGTTGGGGATCCAATCACTCACTTGGTGACGCAATGGGCCGCCGTCAGCACCCACTGGGTGCCGATGAGGGCTGCTCCACAGAGATATTGATTCAGGGAATTGATCAAAGCCACCTGCCAGCACCACTCGCCGTTCTCCCCATCCTCCCCGCCCACCACGCGGGCCCTTCTCCTGCCGCTGTAGTTGGCCGCCTGCAGCGAGCCGTGCAGCGATCGCTGCTGGTAGTAGTCCGGATACACGATCTCCGGCTGGTCCGACTCCGACTGGCTGTGGTAGGAGCGCAGCTGGTTGCTCTGCAGACTGGCACCGGTCTCCACGAGGTCCCCGAGCTTGTCGTTGTGGATCTGAATGGGCACGATGGCGGATCCGAGGACCAGGCGCTCGTTGGACTTGTTGAAGCTGCTGCCGTATGCCGAGACGGAGGTCATTTGGCGGGCGGAGCGTTGCACGCCGTACTTGGCCCGGGCGTAGGACACCAGCGAAAGGGCAGGGGACCTGCCGGCGCGTCCGGTGCGGAGTGTTCCCTTGACTCCGCATACGTACTTGGAGTAGACATGCGGCCGCGGAGTCGTTGTGGTGGTCGTCGTGGTCGGAGGCGTGGTCATCGGGGGCTGAGGCTGTGGCGGCAGGGCAGGCTGCAGTCCGGGACCGGACTGTCCGTAATAGTCCGCATAGCTCTGCGGCGCCGGCGGAGGCGGTCCTGGCTGGTGCTGCTGGTAGGGATTCGGATGGTGCGGCGGCATCTGCGGCGGCAGACCCTGCGACTGCTGGTTGGACATGTAGGAGTAGGGAGGCATGGCAGCCGGCTGCGGCGGATAGGCCTGCGGCGGACCCATCGGCGGCGGCGGCACAGGATAGTAGGCGGTGTCGTTACGCGTCTGGAACTGCTGTCGCTCGAGGATCTTGCTCTTGGGGGCACAGCAGATCTGGCCGGAGCGCTTGCACCTGAACAGGTCGGTCATCTCGGCGTTTTCTGTTGGAGATTAGGGTCTATCATTGGAGTCCCACGAAAGGGGTGATAATTTACTCACTGAAGCACGTGAAGCTGAGCAGACTAACGATGCAGGAGCCGGGGCACTCCTCGCGGGGATCCGGACTGGGCGTGTTGTGCAGCACATAGGGCGGTGCTGTGGGCGGCTGGGTGGGCGAGGGCGTCGCGGGCGGCAGCTTCGGCTTGGGCGCACCGGCGCGAGAGTTGTCGCAGCAGACAGAGCCCTTGGCACAGGTCGTGGCCGTGGAGACCAGCACGGAGGGACGCTCGCAGAAGGCGGCCATGATGTTCAGCAGACAGAAGCCCGGGCAGCGTGGCACCTGTGGCGGTGCCTGGGGCGGCGGTGGTGGAGCCGACGAGGGGGCGTTCAGTGTGCTCTCTGCAAAGGAGATGATCTGCGAGAGAAGATCTCCACCGCCGCCGCCGCCACCTCCTCCTCCAAGGGGGTTCGAAGACGCTGGTGGTGACGCGGCAGGACGAGCTGGCTTTGGTGCGGGCTTGGGGGCATGCTTGATGGCCGGCTTTGTGGGTGGCGGCGGCTTGGAGGTGGGCGCCTCGGAGGCGCCGGTGCCAGTGACACAGCAGCTACCCTCGCCCGGACAGAAGGCCTCCGAGTCGATGTCGTCGCAGAAGATGGCAAAGATCCCGTTCATACACTCGCCCTCGCACTCCTTGAGCTCCTGCCCCTGGTCGTTGGCCTGCCCGGACTTCAGCTTGTTGCTCAGCGGAGCCTCCTCTTCCTCCTCCTCATCGTCGGCCTCCTCGTCGTCCTCTTCTTCGGCAGCTGCTTCGGTGGTGGTCCTGGTAGGATGCTTCTTATGCTTGCTGGGCTTTGGCGAGCTGTTCCCGCTGGTCCTTGCTGGCTCTGGGGTGGTGCTGGTGGTGGTGGTTGCCTTCGTGGTGGTGGTGGTGCTGCTGGTGGATGTGCTGGTGGAGCTGCTTGCCCTTGTGGGCACCGACTTCTCGGATATCGTCTGATTCGGCTTGAGGTTGCTCATGTGCTCTGCAGAGGATGGAAAACACTCTGGTTAATGGGGGGAGGTTCAATGGTGCGCTGATCGTCCACCTACTGGCTGGAATGTAGATGTCTTTGGGCAGCTTCCCATTGGAGTACTCGTCCAGGGAGACGCAGCACTTGGTGCCCTCTTTGCACAGTCCATCGCTGGTCAGGTACGCCTCGCAGTACTCCGCTATCCGATCCGCCACACAGACGCCCGTGCAGTCCTCTGAAAAAGATCAAGGAAACGGGCTAGAAAGGATTTCTGGGCTGCCTGGTCTTCGACTGATCGTACTGTTCACATCATCCGAGGTCTTGGTGGCCTCATCCTTGTCCTTGGGCTTCGCCGTGGGCGCCTTCTTGGTGGTGCTGGGCTTCTTTGTGGTGGCCGCCGTGGCTTTGGTCGTGCTGCTGGCCGGACGCTTGGCCTGCGGCTTGGGTTTGGGCTTCGGTGTGGTGGT